CAAATGGGTCTTCAAAAGGAAGGAAGGTATTCCAGGGGTTGAAGATGCAAGATACAAAGCACGATTGGTTGCAAAGGGCTATAGTCAGGTACATGGTGTTGATTTTAATGACGTATTTTCACCTGTTGTTAAACATAGCTTTATTCATGTTTTGCTTGCTTTAGTTGTCATGTATGATTTGGAATTGAAGCAACTTGATGTCAAGACAGCTTTCTTACATGGTGAACTTGAAGAACAAATTTATATGGAGCAACCTCATGGATTTGAAGTTGATGGTAAGGAAGACCATGTTTGCTTATTAAAGAAATCCTTGTACGGATTGAAGCAGTCTCCAAGGCAGTGGTATAAGAGGTTTGATTCTTTTATGTTGGGTCATGGTTACATGAGGAGCATGTATGATAGCTGTGTCTACTTTCAAAAGTTAACTAATGGCTCTTTTGTATATTTGTTACTTTATGTTGATGATATGCTTATTGTAGCTAAGAATTTGTTAGAAATTCACACTTTGAAAATGTAGTTGAGTAGTGAATTTGAAATGAAAGATTTAGGAGTAGCTAAAAAAATTCTTGGCATGGAGATCAAAAGAGATTGAGGAGTTGGAAAATTATTTCTGACTTAGAAAAATTACCTCAAGAAAGTCTTGGAGAGGTTTGGCATGAAAAATGCTAAGCTAGTTAGTACTGCTCTTGCTAGCCATTTTCGGCTATCTGCTGCTCAATCACCACAGTCAGTTGAAGAGGAAGAATATATGGTGAAAGTTTCATATTCTAGTGCCATCGACAGTATTATGTATGCAATGGTTTGTACTCGTCCAGATATTTCACAAGTAGTTAGTGTGGTTAGTAGATATATGTCTCGCCCGGGTAAAATACATTGGCAGGCTGTGAAGTGGATTCTCAGATACTTGCAAGGGACTTCAGATGCGTGTTTGGAGTTTGGAAAAAATTGTGACACTTTGGTTGGTTTCGTCGACTCTGATTATGCTGTGGATCTTGATAAACGAAGATCTTTGATAGGTTATGTTTTTTGCATTGGCGGTTGTGCAGTTAGTTGGAAAGCTTCCTTACAACCTATCGTGACTTTATCTACTACAGAGACAGAATATATGACAGTGATAGGCGATCAAAGAAGTTTTATGGTTAAGAGGTTTGTTCAGTGAATTATGTCTGCATCAAGGTGTTACTACAATTTATTATGATAGTCAAAGTGTTATTCATTTGACTAAAGACCAGATGTATCATGAGAGGACGAAACACATTGATGTGAAGTTTCATTTTATTTGGGATATCATTGTTGAGGGAAAGGTCCTTGTTCAGAAAATTCATACGAAGGACAATCCAGCTAATATGCTTACGAAGCCTCTTCCGGTTTACAAGTTCAAGCAGTGCTTGGACTTGGTTGATGTTCATTATTGGTGATTACTCGTTGGGGCTTTTATGAAGAAGGTGAAGCAAGTTTTGTTGGGACATGCCAAGATGGAGATTTGTTAGTTTAGCAAGTCCCAAAGTCCCACATCGGGAAAATCAGACTTGTTATCTCTTATTGGAACTATAAATAAGGGTCTAGGCTTTGAAGTCAGATGCACCACAAGAAAAACCTAAGTGTTTGCTTTGGGTTTAAGTCTACACTTAGTTAAATAGTTTGGGCTTACAGTTTGAATTTTTCTTGTTTAATATATTCGGGTGTTTTATAGCCTAGGAACATCTTACTAAGGCATTTGTAATAGTCCCTCTTTTATAGTAGTGATTTGCTCCTCCTTCTTCTGTGGATGTAGGTCAATTGGTCGAACCACGTAAATCTGGTGTTCTTGTCACTTTTATTTTTTCCGTTTTATTGTCTTTGTTGGATTGTCAAAATTAACTTTTCGTAAATTTCCTAGGACTAGCTAACCGATGACACCACGACAGCAGCAGCAAGTACGTTGTTAGTAACCCGGGCAACATGAAGGTAAGAGTTATTTGTCAGGCGCGAGGCATGTTCAGGTGGTGGGAGAGAAGATCGAGCAGCAGCATTCACTAGGTACTGCTCTGCCAACCTCACGCTGAGGCAATGCATGCTTCAAGCCTAGCAGACTGGATTTCTTGATATCTTCAGTAGCTGATCAGAGGTTATAACACAGTTAGCTATTTATGATAGTATGAAGTGTAAATGATCCATCAGATGCAATGAATTCTACAACAGAAGGATGTAAAAAATAATTCATTAGATCCAATTAAAATCTCCCAAGGATCTAAGTCTAAGGGAAAATGGTTTTATTATTGGAAAAATGACAAAGAAAGCAAGGATTTAATAGTTCATTCGTAAGAGGCTTACAAGGTTTCCTTTTGGACTAAGATATCCTAATTCTAACCACATCATGCTTCCATTACTTATTTTTCTACATTTTATCATGTCTTTCTCTTATTTTTTTATCAAATTTGTATTCTGCTCTTACCACCTCAATAAGTTATATGCAATTTGGCACTGTGTCAACTCCGAGTAAATATTGGATTACTACTTTCTATGAGTTAATGACTTGATCGTGACACTCTTTTGTATCCATATAAGGTGATATAGAACAAAAGAATGGAATGGGAGTCCTATAGTAAAGAAAACATTTCTTTTACCGGGATCTCATATTGATGGAAGAGAAAAGAGTAAGAGAGAAAAAGTAACAGATGAAATCAATTTGATTCTTAAGCAACACATGTAGGGTTCTTAAATCTCACAATAGATACACCTCATGAGCAGATAATGGAATCACATATTTTCAAAAAGATGGTGGCCTCATATCACTTGTATACAATGTAAATAAACACAAATTTTCATTCATTCAGTCATGTTCTTGATTAACATATTATCTTCTCTATAGACACCCCTTTTAAGTGTGTTGTGAGAACTCTCCAAAAAGCTAAAACTCATGAACAAAGGCATTCATGTACAGTTGGATATTGCACATCCAGTATGTAATTTTCAGACAGCATCTGATGGTGTGCATAATAAGCCAACAGTAGACGTCCATTCAGCTAGCAACAAATGGATTGCAGGCATGGTAAATATCGGGCCATGCAACCTGCACCTCTACTTTTTGGCTCAAGTATGGCCCTTCATTTTTCAACATGAAGCCAGCACTAGTTTGCAGAGTCACTCTGCAGTAGCTGGTTAAGAACAAAGGATATGATCCAATTGCCAGTTGCCACTGTTACGTTTGTGCAAGTTTTTTGCTATCAACAATGACTCGGTCAGCATGTCTGGTGAGATGATCTATGACCATGCTTTCATGCCCAAGGCCCCATATCGTACTTACTTGCTGCTTGTATTAGAAATCCTGACCATGCATCTCAATGTAGGTGGATTCAAGAATGCTATAAGTTACAGCTACATTGGCAATCGAATCTTGAGAGTTCCTTAAACACAAGATGAGACAGAATTAAAAAAAAGACTCCTCTAAGGTTCCTCGGGAGTTCACTCACTCATATGGAATTAGTTAGTAAATGCAAATAGACATAGTGCACCTCAGCCTTTGCCCATCATCCAACCATTTAAATAAGTTACCACAGATTTAAAGTGACCTATCACCCAGGACATGTATCATCAGTAAGGTCCCCATGTGTCAGCAGGCTAGTGCAAGTTGAATCCAAGTTGCTCAAATCCGTGCCACTACCTAATTGTCCTTTACCAAGTTCAAATGCACCATCTCATAATGGGTGTGGGTTCTCTAACATTTATATTCTGAAAAGTCTAACACTATTGTACATCAGAATTAAAGCTCTGCAAGAGGATTCATAAAGGGCAGACGTACCATGGCCTTGGTCTTCAACAAGAATGTTCTGAGGTCAAGGTGTTGATAGAAAGAGGGAGAACTCATTTCTGATATCAGATCATCCAACGAATCCGGTGCAGCATTCACCAACCTTTGATGTAAATTATGTTCCCCTTCGTCCGCCCCCTCCAAGTATATTCTCCTTAGTTCCTTCATGAAATCCTGGAAACAGTACTGGTCAACTTTACTAGAGCTAATCTTGTGCAGGTAAAGCAAACATGAGTAGGAGGAAGCCATAAGACAAAACTGGGTGGTAATTTTCCTATGCAATCATTTACTCTTTTAAAACCTTCTACATTGTGGAGTACAACAATCAAGAGACTAAAGTTTATGAATCCATCAGCGCATGATCAGGGAACAGGACAGCAGATGCACTGCGGAATACTGCATAAATCATAATTTCATTCTGACACCACAGACTCCAAATTATAAGATAGGCAAGAGAAAAAGAAATCATTCCAGATGCACTGTGGAATATTGCATAAGTTATAACATTACTCTGACACTAATTCTCTAAATCTGAGGATTTTCAAACAAAGAAAAAAGATGACAGAACATGATTGCACATCTAGTATGGAATGCTGCATAAGTTATTACATCAGTCAAAAGTTCTCTTCTTCTTTCTTCCTTCCATCCATATCTAAGTATTACATAACACATAAAAGATCCTGACCACTTGATCATACATATAATACACTAACAATGTTTACGACATTGCGGAATATTTAGAAGAAGGGGGGAAAAGGATTGCAGATGCAAGATGCATTGCGGGATACTGTACAAGCTTTTACACCATTGAGACACAAAACACCCTAAAAAAGAAATCTTTACGTATTCGCTGTGGAATACTGCATAATTATTACATTATTCTGACACTATTTACTCTAAATTCACAAGATCTAGAAGAAAGAATAATAAATCATGATCAGGGTACAGGATTGCAAATGCATTGTGGAATACTGAACAAGTTATTACATCACTCTGACCCCAAAACACACTACTAGATTTCAAGATGGAAAAAAGGCAAGAAAAAATAATTAGATTCCAAAAAAAAAAACAAAAGAAAAGGCTTCTTTTGTCTCAACAAGTGCTCCAAATACTAGTTTGGGGGGGGTGGGTGGGGTTTCCTCCTCCCTTCAAAACCACGTGGCCGGAACTGGTCTAGATTCCAATAAATCCAAACATATCCACATGTGATAGATTTTCTTTCCGATAGTTTTGTACTCCAAATGAGACAAATTCTGATCTAAGGAATAAACAAAATGACTATAATGTCCTCGATCTAACCTCACGTGTCAACACAGTCAAATCGAGAGCAGTGAGAAAGGAAGAGATAGAATGAAGGAAGAAGAGGAAAGTGGCGAGCGAACGATCACAGACCTGAGATGAATCAAGTAACAACCGAGGCCCAATCCTCCACCCTAAGCAACCTGAATCCATTCACTCATCACAGTGACCGCTAGTAACAGTTGAATCCGTAGCTGCAGCTGAAAGGAACTTGGAAGAGAGAACCAGAAAGAAAAGGGCGAGAAAGGATTACAAATGGAGGCGGCCCTGATGAAGACCAAGGGGAGAAGCAGGGCCATGACGAGGATGACGGGCACAACCAAGCGGTAACGCAACCGCCGACTCGATCCCTTCAACTTCATAACTCCGTCTCACGCAGCGCATCCCCCTCGAGATTGGTCACCAGCCACTCTTGTGCCGGGACGCAACACCTCATTCCCGTCTTCCTCTCGATCTTTACGCTGTTAGTCTCAACATGTTGGTTCCAGCGGGCAGTAAACTAAATTCTGATTTATTAAAAAACAAAACGTGCACAATGAAAAACAAAATGAGAAAAAAAATTAAGGTTTTTTTTTACTTTAGCTGATCGAGCATCTAAATTTTATTGAAATTTTATATAAAGAATTCTTGTAACAAGTTATCCGATCTTAATCGGTACCGATCTATAATTTATCCTATCTAATGTGCTTTTCTGTTATACCCATTTTGTGTGACCTAAAATTTTCTTTTCATAAAATTCATCTTTGATAATGATGATATGTTAATGTTGAGTCAAGATATGTGTTGTTGATGTTATTGTGATTTTTGGTTATTCTTGAAAAGACTTATTGTAAACTTGTTATCATTATTGGTGATAGTGGAAGTTTGAGGTAGATTACGGTCCCGTAGTTTTTCCCGCATTAGGTTTTTCACGTAAAAATTCGGTGTCTCACTTTGTGATTGATTTATTATTCTACTGCTTATGCTGCTCTAGTTAATATTTGTATTTTGGTAACAAGTTGGTATTTTGATATGCAAAGAGGAAAAATAATTATTCCACTATAATAGTTTTTCCCAACAAGTGGTATCCGAGTAGCGTATGATTAAAATGGAGGAGTTAGATGATATGATTAAATTGAACTCATCAAATTATTTCACTTGGAGGCGTATGATGGAAGATTTGTATAAGCTCATTAAGGTTAAAGATAAACCTTCTACTATAGAAGATGAGGAATATGATGTTCAACATAGAAAAGCTATTGCTTATATTAGAAGATGAATGGATATAAACTTGAATGAGCATATTTATGATGAAACCAGAGCTGATGTTGTTTGGCAAAGGTTAGAAAACCTCTTTGCGAAAAAGATAGTGAGAAATAGAATTTCTCTCCTCGGAAGACTTGTAAATTTAAAGTATAAAGATGGTGGTAACATTGTTGAGCACATAAGCCTATTTCAGAGTCTTGCAAACATGTTGTTACTATAAAAATAAATATAGATGATGATATGCAAGGATTATTACTTCTCAACTTTTTACTGGAAAGTTGGAAAATATATGTTGTGACAATTTGTAACTCCACGCCAAAGGGGACTCTAATTATAGATATAGTTAAAGACAGTTTGCTAAATGAAAATACCATAAAGAAAGAACATGGAGAATCTTCTTCTGGTGCATTTGTTATTGAAAAACTGTTAGGTCACATGAAGAAAGAGGGTAGGTTTTGGAAGCGAGAACAGAATGAAAGGAAGAAAAATGAGAAAGAGACCAATATAGTTAGTGCTGAAGGTGATATCATTATTGTTTGTGAGGACGGTTGTGTCAGTCTTGTAGCTCACGATAGTAACTGGGTAATTGACTCTAGTGCTTCATTTCTTGTTACTTCTCATGGTGATTTCTTTAGATCTTACACTACTGGTGATTTTGGTAATGTTAGAATAGAAAATAATGGTATATCTAATATTGTGGGTATTTGAGATATTTGCTTGGAGACCAGTATTTTGAGCAAATTGATACTCAAAGATGTTATACATGTTCTAGATATTCGTCTTAACTTGATATCTATATACAGACTTGATGATGACGAGGGATTTACACACTATTTTGGTAAAAGCAAATGGAAACTCACTAAAGGTTCTCTAATTATGATGAGAGAAAAGAAGCTTAACTTTTTTTATGTTATGGAAGCTAAGCTACACAAAAGAGAGATTAATATAATTCATAAGGGTAAAAGTATAGATCTTTATCACAAGAGGCTTGATCATATCAACGAGAAGGGACTTCAAACTCTTACTAGAAAGCAGTTCATACTAGAGTTGCAAGATACATCTCTTAAATCTTGTGATCATTGCTTAGTTGTAAAAACACATAGAGTTACCTTTCATACATATCTATCATCTAAAAGATCAAATGTTATTGATTTGATTTATACTGATGTTTGTATTATGCAAACTAGAACTCTTGGAGGTGCTCTTTATTTTGTTACTTTCATTGATGATCATTCTAGAAAAGTGTGGGCTTTTGC